TGAGACAGTGCTACCTACAGCGATGATTAGGATAAGTTACGCTTTTAATGACTCTCATACCTTGAAAATTCAAGTGGGGTATGGTAGGATACTCTTAATAAAAAGTCACCTATATGAGTGTGAAGTGGGGCCGTTTCTATGAGAACTATAAAGGCTAAGTTTTCTGGAGCACTCATTGAATACCAGGAGTTGTTCAGGGCCAAAATGAACACAATAATGAGAACCAACTTTGTGAAGAAAGGTACTGTGTGTTTGTTATTGTCTTGGTTTACACAAATGGCTGAACAGTTCAAGACATCGCGTTCACTAGTTAGCCAGTAAATCCAATAGCAATACACTAGGGAAGGTTCAAAGCCAAAAGCCACCTATCCTGATGCAGTAACTTTTCGATTATACTCTCTCTAGTGTCTGCATGATCATCTTTTGCATTTTACGCAAATTTCCATTCATGTGGGGGATTGTTGGAAACGTGGGCATTAAAAACATAAACTTTGGATGAGATTTGAAATAGATTCCGTTAATAATTTTTTACGGATCTCTAGACAAGCGCGTTTCTCTCCGTAAGGAGATGAATGTGGTATATTTACTTTCTGAAATCCGTTTCCGGATGAATGAGAAATTAGCTCTAAAGTGTGGTGTTTTGATAAGCCTAAATGGGTATGCAAAATGTGGGAAGTGTTTGTCCCACATGGAAAAAATGTTGAAACAAATTGAAATTTAAATAAGCTGAGTTTATGATTTGGGCTTGGGCTTGGGCTTGGGCTTGGGCCTAATTGTAAAGTCCAGATTATTCTTTTTTGAAATTTTGGATTGGGCCTAATTTTGGGCTGGGCTTATTTAAATGGGTTTCACAAATGAATGGGTTTTTTGGGTGATTGGCTTTTTGAATTAAAAAAACTACTTTTTAGTTTTTCTAAAAGATTACACCTTTTAAATTAAAAAATCATATTTTAGTTTTTCTAAAGGGTTACACCTTTTAAATTAAAAGCACTTTTTAGTTTTTTTTTTTTTTTCAAATGGTTACACCTTTTTTCCGAACCATCATAACCCATGGTTGCACCCACTCGAAAAGACACCATGTGAACCATTGCAACCTATTAGAATGGATGTGTCTATTTGTGAACAGACACCATGTGAACCATTGCAACCTATTAGAATAGATGTGTCTAGTGGTGAACAAACACCATGTGCACCATTGCAACCTATTGCAATGGTTATGTCCAATAATGAAGAGATACACCCAATCCGAAAAGGTATATCTGTTTCTATAAATACCCCCCTTTGCATCATTTGCAATTGATTCATTTTTCATTTTCTTCTATCTCCCTCTCTAGATTGGAACCTAATCCAAGTGGGTTCAAACCATAGGTTAAGTGGTTCGAGCCACTTCGACCCTAATCCAATTTCATCGAGCCATATTAAGATTGGTCCGAACCATTTGGTTCGGATTACACCCAATTCAGCATTTATATAGTATATAAATGCATTTTTGAGTCAGAGAGAGTATTACACGGAGGAGGTTCGCCGTATCCACGAGTTTGTAGTGCTGCTACTGGTGGATGTAGACCGTTATATCCTCGGTCCAGGTTCATTCCTTACATATTATTATTTTTTTATTGTTTTATTTTGCATATTTAATTAAATATAGAGTTGCATATTTAATTAATGATTTATTAGCATATTGTTAATTATCTCATGACATATTAGTATAAGGGTTGTTATATCTTAAATGTCACATGAAGCATATATTTTTACCAACAATTACAATATTATTATAGTGCTTATTGTAATTAATTAGATAGGATAGAGTTATGAGATAACTCTATCTCTATCTAATTGGAGCTAGGATAAGAATCCATTTTGATCCTCATCTCTAGCCCCATCTATATACACAATATATATCTCTTATTCGGATATACACACAATCTTATAGAATATAGAATAACGAGAGTGAAAGATATAGGATTTCCACAAATCTGTGTATTCCGGGGATATAGAGGTGAAGGTTTACTGGTGTTCAAGGCCAAAAGAGGATCAATCTAATTCACTGTTATTCTCAGAGTGTTGACCATTAATCAATCGTCGAAAGGTATGAAATCTTTTACAAATACTCCAGTTATTGATTTGGTGAAATATCATGTGGAAATGATCCTGAAAATTTTTAAATCACTTCCGTTGTGCCTTCAATTGGTATCAGAGCCTAACCCAGCCGGAAATGTGCCTAAAGGGACGTCGGGCCTACAAGGGAGGTGGATTGTAATGACCTTGTGGGCGGGTGTGCTGTGGGCGGGTGCGAGAGACACTGTCAGGCTACCACACTGGCGAGCTACGGGTTCACAATCCCACATCTTCTGGGTAGAGGAAAGGTGAAGTGTTTATATGTAAGTGTGTCATCTCTAATTGGTATGAGACCTTTTGAGCTAAAACCCAAGAGCAAATCCGTGCGGGTTCAGACTCAAAGCGAACAATATCATACCATGTGGTGGAGTATCGTTACAAATTGATATCAAAGCCACCCACATGCTTTTCCTCAAATCATGATGATCATTTGAACTCTTGATTATTATCTATGCATGTATAGATATTATATTCATGGTTGGATTATATTTATTTTATAAATATGTTAATTTATTTTATTGTTATTTGATTGATTAATCATAAGATCAGATCGGGTAACAGTGTATTAAAAATATATATATATATATATATATATATATATATATATATATTTGTCGGGTCGAAGAGTCTGCACACAGTAGTAGCCATTGGTAACGAAAGGAGAATGCTAGTAGTGTATGTTCTTTGGTTGATTTTACTCTCATTGTTTATATTTAATGTGAAGAAGTAAGTTTTCATAAATTAATAAATATATAATCGACCTCTTGTTGGCAGCGGCTAATATCTACGGATATCAGGGATATGCCCATGTGATAGGCTGACACGCTTCGTATATAGATTGTTCTATATTAACCTCCTACTGTTATGTATTGGATGTATATCTAATATATGATTTTTGAGGGTTTTCTTTAAAGGTTGCTCAGGTTAATTATATTTAAGTACACATGGCATGGGTTAGGGTGATGAATAACCAAAATTTTAATTATTAATATTTTATTAATAAACCCACAGTGGCTAGTGACGATGGTGATGTGCTATTTGATTTTCATTGGATACTCATTGTTTGAGTTTAAGTTTGAAAGTCATGCTGTTTGGATATAAATATATATATATATATATATGAACTTTTTTGTTTTCTAATGATGGCATTCCAGTAAAGGATTACTCATGTGATGATTTGTGCATAAAAAATAAATAAAATAAAATAAAATAAAAAGTAATCAGATTGTGTTTTTTTGTCTTCAATAGATTGTCTAGTATGATAATGATAATAAATGTTACGTAGTTGACGCCGCAGAGAGAACTCCCAGTGGGAGTTAATTAGATTGTGTGTGCATTTGGTTAATGATTTCATTTTGTTTTGGAACAGAAATTAATATTATATTACACTTGTCACTTGTCTTATGCCTATTATTAAGTGACCCAGAAAAGTGATCTGTACATGAAATCTACATTATTTTCATGTACTGATACTACTATGAGTGTCTATCTGCTTTGATGCAACCAATTTTATTATTCAATCGTCCAAAGCTTGATTGCAGGTGCAGCTAAATAATTTCTCTCTCATGGTTCGACTAATTTATTATTTAATTTCATGTGATGTAATTAATTAATTAGTAGCGGCATTTTAAATGGGCTATCCCAATAAGAGTTAGTTTTCCCTAGCCGAATAGGATTTAATTATTTTTTTATTTTATCTTGTTTAGAATTTTATGTAAGCCCTAAGTTGGGTATAGGAGAAAATATTATACTATTCTCTAAATTTGGGGTTGAAATTCTTGAAAAGTTCAAGAAAAGAATTAGACAAGATAAAAGTCTGTGCTTCCAATGGAGGACTTTGAAAGCACAAGACGACCATGAAATGACTTTTAAACCGGCCATGAGAGGGGATTTGCATTTTTTTTGGGTGCAACATAATTTTTATTTGCATGCTTATATTCATGTGATGGTTATATGCTTGAATGTCATGCTTAATCCATGAATTGCTTTAGTTACGTTTTATTTAATTTTAAACTAGATAAAATTGGAATTACTTATTTGGGTAGTTTTGAAAAAATTAGCACAAAATATTTTTGAAAATTTGATTTTCTGAAAATTAAAAAATTTTATTTTTAATTAAATTTTGTGTAAAGTGTAAGATTATCCCATAGCTTAACTCAAGAAATTGAGCTAAGTTGACCCAAATGGATTAGGTTCATTAAGCCTAAAAGAATTTTAAAATGGATTCCAATATTATTTAGATTAAAATTAATATCATTATATTTTGCATAGGATGTATGGAATTTAAAGAAAACTCTCTCATTTTAAAAATCAAGTGGGAGCGGGATTTTATCTTAAATTCCAAAGCCTTCCATTGTCGATCTATTGTAAGGTGTAACAAGTACCTCACCGCCAATCTTAGGTGCTCCTCCGGAGGGTATTTGTTTCACTGGTTACTAGATATAGATTTTGCATGATAAAACTAGCGGCAGGCGGATGGGGACAATCACCATTAGGAGATGGACCTCATTCAATTGCATTACTTCTAGACAATGGTATAAACTTGACTAAGTGGGAGTACGTTCCACCTCAAGGGGTATTTTCACTTAGAAGCCAAAGTTAAATCGGTTGCCATATTTCATTTGGCATGAGATACCTAGATAGTGGGATATGGTGGAAATTGTTTCCGTCTAATCAAGGTAGTGACATGATCTCTTGGTAATGGCATGTTCTTATTGCCCCCTGAGAGAAATGAGTGAATACCTACAGGGATTATGATTATCGATATCTTCATTATATCAGTGGTTTAGAGAGACCCATGGAGTGGCTATATGAAAACTAAAGTTCATTTTTATTTCTGTATGAATGCCATTTTTATGCGTGAATGTTTATATATATTTCAGATGTCGAATGTTTTCAGTCCACTTACTGCTATACTTAAGGACAACAAAGTAACCAGGTCAAACTATGTTGACTGAAAGAGAAATCTTCACATTGTACTTACTGCACAGGAGTACAAATTTGTGCTCACTCAAGAGTGCCCTCCTATGCTTGGCCCTGATGATAGCCAACAGCTAAAGGAAATGTACGAGAAGTGGCAAAAGGCTGATGAAATGGCCAAGTGCTATATTTTAGCTTCAACGTCAAACGGTTTACAACATCAGCATCAGTCTTTTGTCACTACTCGTGACATTTTACTGAACCTTAAGGAAATGTTTGGGAAACAAAGTAGAGCGGCACAACAAGTCGCAATGAAACAAATTATGAACGCTCGTATGCCCGAAGGAACTCCAGTTGGCGAACACCTTTTAAAAATGATTTCTTATTTTAATGAACTGGAGGTTCTTGGGGCAAACATAGATGGTGAGACCCAGGTTGATATAATTCTGCAATCATTGCCAGAGTCATTCAATCAGTTCAAACTAAATTATTCTATGAATAGTATGGCTTATTCTTTATCAAAACTGATGAATGCTCTGCAAGCTGCGGAAGGAATTTTTAAAGGTCAAGGGAGTGTTCATACAGTGGAAAAGGGTTCTTCTTCTCATGGAAAGCCGAAAGGCAAGAACCATAATAAGAAGCAAGGTTCCACTGTCCCCAAAAAGGTTGGTACTAGTGGTGGAATTGTCAAGGCTAAGGGCAAGGCTAAAATCAAAGGAAATTGTTTCCATTGTGGTAAGGAAGGGCATTGAAAAAGGAATTGTCGAGTGTATCTAGCAAAGCAGCACTCTGAAGGTATGCTTCAGTCACTCATTATTAAGACGTGATATGTGGTTGAATCTACGGATACCTGATTTGTAGATTCTAGAGCCACGAACCATGTTTGCAATTTATTGCAGGGTTCTAGGAAACCAGAAGACTGAGTGAAGGGGAGATATCTATCTTCATCTTGCTTTACAAGCAAGGGTAGCGGCAGTATCAGTAGGAGCAGTTATTTTAAAATAAATGATAGGAGTTTATTATTAAAGATTGTCTTTATGTACCAGAGAGTAGAAAATACTTGATTTCTATTTCAGTTTTTTCAAATTCTAGGTTTTCAATATCTTTTGATTCAGAAGTTTTAAAAATAATAAAAAATAAAAGATTTATTTATTCCGGTACATTGATGGATGGTCTTTATTTAATTACTCCTACACTTCACTCCTTGTATGATACTGAAATAATTGATGTATTGAATGTCTTACTATTAAAAGGAAAGATTCCTTCGAATAACTCTATATATTTTTGGCATATGCAGGTAGGTCATATTAATTAATCTAAATAGGATCCAAAGACTGTTTAAGGATGGGCATTTGGGCTTTTTAGTGGTTTAACCACTTCCAGTTTGCGAATCCTACTTAGACGGTAAAATGACCAAAAGACCTTTTTAAGGATTAGAGGCATAAAAGCTAAAGAGGTTCTAGAGTAGGTGCATACAGATGTACGTGGTCCTATAAATGGGATCATATCTTAAACTTGTGCACCAGACACACTATACCAAAATGGTGTTATAAAAAGAAGGAATAGATCTTTACTGGACAAGGTAAGATTGATGATCAGTTATTCAGGACTACCAGTATTCTTTTGGGGTTCTATCTAAAGTAGTTCCAAACACTACCAAGGAATTTTAAACTAGGTGAAAGCCTTGTTTACAAAATTTAAATAAGTGGGAGTGTCCTGCACTTGTGTGGAAGGGAAAGCTTGAGAAGATGGGACCGAAATTAGATGTTTATCTATTTATGGGCTACCCAAATGGTACAAATGGTTATTCATTTTATGATCCTAAAGAGCTGAAAGTGTTCATTAGTACAAATACTACTTTTTTCGAGGAGGGTTATATAATGAATCACTATCCTCGAAGCAAGATTGTTTTAAAGGAGATAATAGATAGACCAATTAATCCCAGAGTGGATATGGTAGTTATGGATGATGAGACATCAGAAACTACGACTCCAGAATCTCTTATTATATCGAAACCTTAACGTAGTGGGAGGGTTATCAGGCCATCTGATAGGTTAATGCTCTTGGGAAAGTCTGACGAGGTGATCCCAAACAAACAAGATCCCTCTATACTTATGAAAAGGTTACGAATGATTGTGACACGAACATTCATTTTGATTAGAATTTGAATGGGCTTTATGTATACCAGAATAGTGATGGAAGCGTGGTGGTGTTTTAAAGAGATAGTTCAGCATGGGGATATTGTTGTCATTAAGATTGCATCTGCAAATAACCTTGCAGATTCTTTCACTAAGACTCTACCTACTAAGGTTTTTAAGTCTTATATTAAAGGGATGGGTGTTAGATGTAATGGTAATTGGCTTTTAGTGCAAGTGAGAGATTGTTGGGATTATATACCCTACAAGCTAATTATTTATTCGATATTTTATTAATAAATGTGATATCCATCCATTGGCTTTACATATTTTTGCATGAGATGCATTATTGTCCTCAAGTTGCATTATAGGTGACTTAAGTGTGTAAATGAGATTTACACGCAGGAGAATTGGGCTCACCGGTTTCTTGCATCTTGGCATTGTTCGCAGTCAGTTATAAAAGTTGGACACTTTTATCTGTAAGACTGTAACACACTTGACCTCTATAAGATAGGATGTTTTGTCTTGACCATTGGGATAGTTAACTCTAAGGCAGTGTGTTAGTGTACTTAGAGTCACCATAAGATCACACCATACAAATTACTGTTATTATTTTGGTGTGATTCTTATCTACTAGATACATTAAGCTCTAAATCCTGAGAGGTTTAATGGACTCAAGTTTCAATATTGGTCACTTTGACTAACCAATATGTGAGATCTTTTAAGGTCAATACCATGGTATCTTGGATGGCTAATGTTGGAGCTCTAGGAACACAAATGCTCAACATGGAATCCATACTCTATAAGAGTTAGAATATCCCATTGACTATCAACAACAGATCTGCTCCTCACAGGATCTGCTTCTTAAGCACTTTGATCTCTAGTTCAGTCATCCAATCAGTCATTCTGAAGGGTTGCTCCTTGCTTGATGTCGAATCAAATATATGTTCGAGAACTATAGATGATCAACACCGCATATGCATACCCGCCAATTTAGATGGATGATGATTCTGAAATAACCCAAAAACTCTAGCGAAGAATTACTAGAATGACTATGCTCAGAGACAAGATATGAAGCATATCTAAGTTTTCTGAAAACCAAATAGCCTCTATAGATACTGACGTGGGTAGGAACTATGCAGAAGAGACGTAGGTGACAGAAAAAAGATCATCTGCAGAATGAAGGCCAGAGAAATGATCAATTCAGAAAATGAATCCAGGCAAGTTGATCTTGCTTTGTATATTTATATGTATCTGTAACCTGCTTATTAAATTTGTATAAAATTAATGAGTATGTTTTAGTAGATTTGCACGGATTGATTTGAAAAAACTTGAGATTATATTAATATAAAGGTCTCTAACTTGATATGGTTAATTAATCAAATAAGACTATGAAAAATATGAATAACTAAACTATTGATTTTAAAGAGAACTATTAATCATGTGTTAATCAGTGAACTGTTCATACCTCCCTAGTTTGGGAAGACCCAACAAGACATATATACATACATATATATATAAATGTATGTGTATTTTGTATGATTATACACACATGCAAGCCTAAATGTATTTGAGGATGACTCAAATAAACACCGACTTAGGCAAATACCTTGATTATTGAAATAGAAGAGAGTATGTCGTAAACGGCAGAAAAACTCTTTCATTAGTTTTGGAGATACTTTGCTTTAAAAAGGACTTTCTGCGACAGATATTCGAACAATTTTTAGCAGTGACATTATGATATTTAGTGGTTACTATTTTGCACTTTTACAATGATTTGTTTGTTCTTGGCGTCATTCATGTTTTCAAACTTGTGGGGAGAACATTGAAAAAAGGCCTTCATTTGACGTTTCAACAAACAATTAGTGACAACTTCACTGTGTCTTTTTATCACTAATAAAATATCTAATGCCCAGTGATTGACATTTGGTGGTGACTCTTCTCCCCGCTAAAAGTTCAGTTTCTTGTAGTTTTAATGACGTGACAATAATTATCTTGGAAGCAAGCAGCGCAATGAAGTTCCTATTATTTTTAACTCATAGGACCCAAAAGAACCTAGTCAATGTGTGTGAAAAATCTGTAGAAGTAGTGCAAACCTGCAAGTTTTAGGCATAAATTTGCTATACTAAGTCCTATTACCTAACAAAGAGTGTACCCTGTAATTCAGAATTTGGCTCCACGGGATAATGGGGTATTATAAATAGAAAATAAATAATGCTTGCTGAAAATTGTTGTGTGTGACGAAGTGTTCATTAAAAACTGCTATGTACACAGATAATGTTCACTCAATATTATGAAGTTTTCATGGAAAGCATTTAGGCACTGATTGATTGGGAGGGAGGTTGTGGTTTCCCCAGCTCCAAGTAAAGAAAGGAGAAATATAGAAGGGAAAATTTTAAGTTCTTTATATGACATCTACAGGAAGGACTCTGGCTAAGCAGCTTCTGGGATGTCAACTACCAATCGAACATTACCAGGTGGTGGATTAGGAAAACTTTCTAAGCTTCGCAATATCGATTAATTATTAATCCACAATATCATCATGACATTAATTCCGGACATGGTTCTTGATATTTACAACGAAAAAAAAAAAAAATCATTATGACATTAGAAAATTTATGCCTTCTTTAGAAGGGAATATATTTCTTTAAAAGGTATTGAAAGAAGCATATTTTATATACCTATTGAGCTCTATAATAAGTTTTGAAACCCAAAATGCATGTGTTATACAGACAAACCTTTCGGAAGTCAGCATTTGACAAGTTCTCCACCAACTTCGGACAAGATGAAAAGAATCCGCGTCCTAGAGGACTGTACGCAACAATCCCAATGCCAAGTTCCCTGAATAATCACAAAAGGGGAATAAACTTAGGACCTTGAAACACTTGTCACTCCCTAAACGGATAAATTAGAACAAAAGATGTCTCACCTGCAAGTAGGAATTATTTCTTTCTCCACATCTCTTGACCATAGGGACCACTCCAGCTGTACAGCTGTTACTGGATGAACAGCGTGCGCCCTTCTGATCGTTGAAGCTAATGCCTCAGATAGACCTTGTTGATGACCGCGCCACAATAGCTGCTTAAGTGGCGCCACCTCTGTAAAATAGGCACAACTAGCCAATGCTTACCTGGCATGTCCACAATGGACTAGGTATCCTCGAGCTACCTATCCAATAACTGAACTCGCTGACCGAGGAAGGGGTCGCTACCCTTCCTCTACTGTGGACATGCCCCGCTCCAGTCGGATGGGCTCCTCCCCCTCCCTGCTCGTCTAAGGTTGCTCTTTGAAAGAGCAACCTCGGCAAAGAGCAACCTTGGCTAACCTGCTTTACGAGCTCCCCTTTCCGGTTATGGGGACCTCAAGATAAAATTGGGATAGAGCCCTGCGAGGTCGTGAAGGCAGGACCTCGAAGGAGGCCTTTTCCCTCTAAAGTTCGGGAATCTGAGGACATGTGGATAGGTGGCTGAGATCCAAGGTATGGCCTCAGCCTGAGGCCAACACAAAGGGGAAAGGATACTCGGTACCCAAGCTCGAGCAAAGAAAGATAAGGAGCGCATTAATTGCGAAAGACGTTTGATAAGACCCATATTAATTAAGGAGCGCCATTACCTCTT